AGGGACAGTGTAAGGAGCTGGTGTTGCTTCTCTTTGGAGCTCAATGAGTTCAGACTCTCATTTCTCTATCAGGCAGTTTATTCAGACTTTATAAACACAATTCTTTCCAGTTCAAAGCCAAATTAAAAGGTCAGCCTGCTCCATTCTCTCCGAAATTCCCCCTAGGCTCCCCTTGCCTAGGAATTCCCCCTAGGTTTCTCTTTCTTAGGAATTCCCACTAGGTTCCTCTTACCTAGGAAATGTACTGGTACCCCCTTAAGACACCTAGTTTTAAGGCTTGAAACAGCTCATATAAACTCTGGACCATCAACTTAGAATAAGGAGATCTGGGTTTCAGGAGAACTTACCAGGGTCACCTGAAGAATGCAGTGATTGGGGTGCTCAATGGACTCCTATTGGTACTGAACACCAGTTCAGTGTATAGTCCTTGTGATCTCTGCTGGCTTTCTCTGAAATCCTGCCGTGACTATGCCAAGAAACGTCGACACAAATGATCCATAATCAACCTATAAATCAAAATTGGGTTGAGTTTATTACGAGCCAGATCTCAGGACTCAAGGAAAGAAGGGCACCAAAGAAGTGGGATGTACAGAGTGGTTAAACACCATCTTGGAACAAAGAGCATACTTCACATATGATAGGAATGTTCCTTTTATAATTGTCAGGAGATGCTTAGCTGGCACAGCAGTTGGTCAGCAGGTTGGTGGTCGCAAGGGGAGTGGTCACAGGGTGAGCAAAGCAGGTCAGTAATTGATCCTTAGTTTAGGGAGAGATGCTTATCCTTAAAGAAATGCTGACCTCACAGTAAAGAGGTGAGGTCACTAAGCCAAGAAAATATAAAAGTCTCCAACAGAATGGCTCATATAGCGCCATGCATATAGAATATATAATTCCATCACAATTCCCAACTGTAGATACAATACTCAATTTCTATACACAATCTTTTGCAGTTCCATGTTTCTTTGGTCTTCTGAATAATTGCTGTTGTACAAATCCAGATAAAACTGGGCTGAAACTTAAATAAAAATCTGTATCTTAAAATACAAAACATTATCTTCTCTGTGATAAACAGTTCTCTTTCTCACCAGCAGTGACTGAGTCACTTTCTAGTGATTTCAGCCAAGAAATTGTAGTAGAAGCAGAAGCAAAGACTGAGCTACCACTTACCTGCTTTTGTGGTCCTCCTCGGCAGAGATCAGGCACTGTGTCTAGGGAAGCCATTCTCACTGCAGCCTGGATTGAAGGGCAACGTGTGCTGGTGGTAAATGTCCAGCTTCACACTCAGGACCCCTTGAAAGTTGGGTCATGTTCACAAGCCCTGAAACTACTGATAATATTGTGGTGGGAATATGGAGTCTCTTCTACTCCTCTGTTATAATAACCATTACTACACCTACAAAACATATTTTCCTTAAGTCAGACAGAGGAAGACAAGTATCGTATGATTTCACTTATATGCGGAATCTAAAAAACAAAACAAATGAACAAAAAAACCCAAAACAGAAACAGACTCACAGGTACAGGAAAAAAATGATAGTTACCAGAGTAGGGGGTGGGTTTGGGGGATGAGCGAAATATGTGAAGGGGATTAAGAAGTACAAACTTCCAGTTATAAATTAGTCATGGGGATATAATATACAACATAGGGAATATAGTCAATAAGATTGTAATAACTTTGTATGGTGACAGATGGTAACTAGCTTTATCGTGGTGATCCTTTCATAATGTATATAAATATCAAATCACTATGATGTACACCTGAAACTAATAGGGTATTGTAAGTCAATTACGCTTCAACAGCAACGACAAAAAAACAAGTTTTCTTAAAAATTGTGTCTTTTGAAGTCTTCTAGTGACCTTTTTTGTAGATATATCAGACATGCATTACCAATACATGATTTTTTTTTCTTTTTGAGGAAGATTAGCCCTGAGCTAACTACTGCCAATCCTCCTCTTTTTATTGAGGAAGACTGGCCCTGAGCTAACATCCATGCCCATCTTCCTCTATTTTATACGTGGGATGCCTACCACAGCATGGCTTTTGCCAAGCGGTACCGTGTCTGCACTCGGGATCTGAACTAGCGAACCCCAGGCCGCCAAGAAGCAGAACATGTGCACTTAACCGCCGTACCACCGGGCCAGCCCCATGTTTTTTGATCTTTAAGAATAATCAGCCATCTAAAGATCTCAAGTTTTGGGTTTTCTCCTCCAATCAATCTCTGTGTCTCTCTGTTTCTCTGTCCCTCTCTCTCTCCCCCTCCTCTCTCTCCTGTCCCTCTCTCTCTCTCTCCTTCTCCCTCCTCCCATCCCCCCTTTCTCTCTATCTCCTTCTCTCATTCATTGCCCCATTCTCTTTTGGCACCCTCTCCCCTAATACCCATTTTGTTTTATTCTTTGATAGTTTTGTTTGTTGTGCTAATTTTGCTCTTATCTAAGTTAGATTAGGTAATGCAAATATCTGTTAGTATTTGCAGCAATTTTTCCCCCAAAATAATAGTTAGAGAGTTGTAATTCTGCTCTGATTGAATTGGATATCCTGTTTTATTAAACATGGAGAAGAGTGTAGATAATTCTGCTAATTTGTTAGTGACTCTAAATCATCAATATTTTCAATATTTTTGGAGGATTTAACATATTTTAGCTTGTATGAGTGTGTGTGAAAATATGTATGTAGCTTGAATTATGAACCAGAATAGGAAATGAATCAGAAAAAGAAAGCTTTATTCAGTCCCTCACCTTTTTGGAGGTCTGTGTGGGAGGATGTCTTGGGTTTTGTGGTTCTTATTTATGGAAGGGGTACCTGAAGTTTTAAAGCATTGTACACGTGAATTACTCCCTTCTTCCTTTATTGTGGCCATGGTTCATTGCCATAGTAGCAGAGAACAGATTCTCGCTGAGGGTGAACGACACTTGCTTAAGTGAAAGCTCAGTGCCAGTTTTGTATTAGATAAAAAAAAAAAGTGTCTACAAGATTTCTGGTCTTTGAGGTGGTTCTTGTAGAATCTATTGAAGTGATATTTTGCATTTATAAGTCTAGAGATCTATTAAAGATTTGAGTGAAGCATGTTTTACCTGACTGCTCCCATTTTAATTTGACAGGAATATGAGATTCAAAGAAATTCAGTTTTTGAACTAATTTTTTTATAGATTCTATTTGGGATAAACAGAGAGAGAGATGAGGAGTATTGCAGTAAAGCAAACAGATAAACAGGGGGTAGCTATTCACAAGGCAAGAGGAGAAAGTCCAGTTTCTAGCTTTGTATTTACATTTGCTGTTGCAGTGAGAGTAGAAATGTAGCCAAATGTCAACATCCAGCCAACTCGATCCTGTCAGTATTTACCACATTTATCAGAATTTCGTGTCCCTGTGATTCATCCAAGGTGCTTTTGTTAAATATGTGGCATGCCTGTATCCCTTTCCCCCATCATTGATTTAGGGATCTGAAATATGGGCCAGAATTTTTCTTACTTGGAAACACTCTGCATTTCTGTCTCTTGGTATGTAATTTTTATCAAATAACTCCTTCTGAAAATGGCTAAGAAAAAGTTGTTTTATAGCTTTCCATATGACTGATTTAATGCACACAATACTTTTTGCAGAGTTGCTTACACTATAAATGCCAGGAGGTTCTTTTGGTGGGGGTGAGAGAATATCTAGCCTTCCAATGCTAACCTGGCTTCAGGACCTGTCCTTTAACTCTCCCTTCCTGAAAACCAGAGTGCTGCCTCTCATCCTGCCTGTATGAAATTCTAGAATAGCCTCTGCCACTGAGTCTCCTACAATCACTTTGTATTTCTTTTCACCAGACTTTTATGAATATATTGCCAGTGAACAGGCATCCCAGATGCATTTTTAAAAAATAAAGAAGGGAATGGTCGTTGGTAGACCTTTCGTGTATTTTATTTATAGCTAAAATGTCTTGTACTGCTTGAAAAAATATTTGATGTGCAACTAGAATTTACTTATTTTAAAAAAATTAAACAATTTAAAAAGAGTAAAAAGTATTGATATTAAAACCAGATTTCCAGGCTTTCTAGTGTAAATAAAGAACTGGCCTCATAGTTAGGTAATTGAGATTCTAATGCACCACCTTCCTCGAGTTTCTTTGTAAATGTAAGGTCCTTTATGCCCAATCAAACACCTGTCATTAAATTGTACGGACTTGAGGAGATTTATCAGAATCTAGCTTAACCTATGTTTAGTGTCAAGGATCAGCCACAAACAAGATCACTTTAATGAATTCAAACTCATACATATTTTGGTCACATTTAAACCATGAGTGGTCAATTAGACGTGTCTAGGAAAATTTTCTATATGCATATAACATACAAACTATGTAGGCAGTAGTGCCTATAAGAAATAAAAACAAACAATTATGAGTTACTCTTTGAATAAATAAAGTCGATTTTTTTTCACTCTAAAAAACTCTACCTGAATATAGGCTGGTGTCCAATTATGGGAAGTGCATGGGTTCAGACGTTGACCCTGCAACTATTATGCATACTCTTAGATTGGCCAGCCAGCCAGCCGGCCAGGCAACTTTGAATGTGTGTCATTTTTGCCCCAACCTTAGTCACTTTCATGTCAGGCTTCTCGCTTGTGAGTGGTAATGCTGCTAGTCCTGTGTATCTCACAGATAGAAGCTGTTGTGCGAATAAAATGATAACGTGAAAATGCTTCTCTGTGTGCGTGGAGGGATTTTTTTGCTATGATGTTATCACTTTTACCAGGAAGATACAACATTTTCTTGTAGATATCTCTGTAATCAAGGGGAAAAGTAGTAGTCTAAAAATAATTGTTTTGAGAGTTTGAATATAAATATGAACAAAGGAGTGAATTTTCTCCTATTTAGGACAATAATGTTAGGCTCTCATTGAGCAAGTAGTCTAATCAGATTATTGTTTCTCTTGTGTTAAGTAAACCAATATCTGTTCTACTTTGTAATGGACTGTATCTTGGGGATATAAGAGGATCATAATTACCCCCGTCTCCTTCACAGGGTTGGCCTTTGCTATTCTCTCATCTGTGCACCCAGTCTTTGGTTTATATGGGTCTCTGTTTCCTGCCATCATTTACGCCATGTTTGGAATGGGACATCATGTTGCCACAGGTAATAATTTCTGTCTATGTTTGTGCTTCTCATATTACTAATGAAAGGGACTCAGAAGTTATCATTAGTTACTAATTACATTTCCAAAGCAATTCTAACTTTACTACTGAAAACCTCAGCAAATATTAGAGCAAGACATTTAACTTTCTGTGCTTTTCTCAATGTATACTGTAGTTTATTGCTATATAACCATGTAACAAAGGTTATTGCTAAAGACTCTTTGCATTTTTAAATTGTAAAAAGACCATAAAATAAGCACAAATATTCTGAATTTACAATGAAATGAGAGAAAGGAAGTACTTTGAGGGAAAGACAAGACTACATAAAATTTAGTTACTTAAATATTGAAAAATACTTTCCATGTAATTGATGTTTGGACTAAGTGACCTTTTAGGTTTCTTCCAAATTGGATTCTGTATAGCTCTTACCTTGCCTAATACTGCATTACGAAATAAAATGTGAACTGTCACAAGTAGTCTGAGAATAGAGCACGCTGGATAAAAACATGGGTTTTGGAGTTAGACCTAGGTGTATGTCTCATTTGTTGTGTGCTATCTGCATGATCTTAGGCAAAGTTTTAAAGCTGTGTTTATTGCTTTCTTGATAGTAAAATGCCAAAACAAATTCATATGATTGTAGTGAGAATTAGATGAGATCATTGATGTAGAGTGTCTAATTTAGTACTTGCCACGTAATAAGATTTAATGAAAGTTAGCTGTTATTACAAAAATGATACCTTCACCTTAAATATTAAGGCAATAATAATAAACATACTTTTAACCAGAAATATCCATAGAGCCATTTCTGCTTATTTTGTGCATGTAAGATAGCTCTCAGTAAATAATATCATTTTGTGTCTATTTCTTCAGGCATCAGTTTGTGTTATTGACTTTATTAGTTTTCTATTTCTGATGTAACAAATTACCATGAGCTTAGTGGTTTAAAACAAGAAAAATGTATTATCCTGCCATTTTAGAGGTTAAAAGTCTGAAATGGGCCTTACTGGGCTAAAATTGAGGCATCAGTAGGGCTGCATTCTTTTTGGAGGCTCTAGGGGGCAGTTTGTTTTGTGACTTTTCCTACGTTCCTTGGCTCATGGTGCCTTCATCCATCTTCAAAGCCAGCGGTGTGGCATCTTCAAATCTCTCTCTAATTCTGATCTTTTGCCTTCATCTTCCATATTTAAAGGACCTGTGTGATTACATTGGGCACCTTTGGATAATCCAGGATAATCTCTTTATTTTAAGGCCAGCTGATTAGCAACCTTCATTCCATCTGCACTGTTAATTCCACCTGACCATGGAGCCTTTTTATGGTTCCAGGGATTAGGACGCAGACCTATTTGGAAGGCCATAATTCCACCTACCACTTTGATACTTACATTTCTCATGCAGAAATTAACCCGTGAATAATGTTTTATTTATGTAAATTTGGCTTCTTATATCAATTACCTTTGTCGTGGGGGATAACTCAACAGTTGTCAGTCATTTACAGCACTGCTACCTAAAGCATGGTCCACAAACCAGCAGGATCATTGTTATGTGGGAGCTTGTTAGAAATGCAAAATCTTGGTTTTCAATCCAGATCTACTGAATGAGAATCAGCATTTTCACAATCAACATTTTCTCCAGGTTTTATATCTATGTATAAATATGTATACATATAAAATATGTTTATATATATATAATATGTATATGTATGTATATGTACTTAAATTTGAGAACTATAGATGTACTATTTGTTAGATGCTTTGTTAAGAGCATTACTTATGTTATTTTATTTTGTCCTAAGACAACCATTTTAAATAGACATTATTATCTGCATATTTACATTTAAAAAAACACCCTGAAATTTAGAAAGGTTTCTGTGAGAGCACAGAATAAAGTCTCAGGTTCATGGATTACAACCCAGCTGTCCCCAAATTTTTCTTCTTTACAACCAGTTACTCAAGAATGAACTTTCCTTTTGTGTTGATGCAAAAGGAAAAAATCACAGTAATGAATTAGAAGTTTTTGAAGTGTATTATTTCTGAATTATCCTGCTCCCTAATTTAGTACCAATTTATTTTCATTTTTCAAAACATTTAAATATGTCATTACCAGGAAGAAACATACTGTTTTAGAGCTGACCCCAAAGCCTTTCCTCTGTTAACCAAAGGATAAAGGAAAAAGGTAAAAAAATTTGCCCAATAGATCGTAACTGCTTTAAGAATTCAAAAATACACAACCTGATACATACCTGAATAAACATTTACATAAACCACTTTATTTCCTAAGGAATCACTGTAGACATTTAACTGGTGGCATGGTTTTGAAATTACCATTTATATGACGCTCTGTATTTAACAAATGTTATTAACAGCTATCGGAACCTTGCAGTCTACTAGGTAAATAACGCATTTCAAAATACATTTAATTTATAGATGTAACTATAGTCACTCTATCACACAATAAACGCTAAAGGCATTTTATTTCTGCATATGTACTTCTCCAGAGGACAGAGTCAGCTGGACCTTCACATTTCTTTTTTATCCCAATATACTTAGAATTCTTTAGACTCAGCAAAGCAGAAATGAATACAATATAGATATCAGGTGAGATATGCAAACTAATTATTTTTGACTTCCCTATGATCTTAAACACAGGAACCAATTGTATCTCACCAAAAAATTCCTGAAAACATTTAATATAGAGAACATATTTCTCTTTTAAATCATTTTATTGTATTTTATTTTGGTGTGTATATGTGTATGGGAATTCCTACTCCCACTTTATTAACAGATTGATGCTGCTTTCATAAAGAAAAATCACTTTATCTGGGATTTTGCCTCCAACTTAGGTAGTCAGAATATAATACTGAATTGCTAAATGCAATAATAAATTATGCTAGAGGTATCTTCAAAAGCAAATAAATCAAAAGCCAGAGTGTAAAGGCACCAAATGTGCTGTTTTGCTCAACAATGTGAATTTTGTTATTTTAAGTTAAAAAATATATATGTTTTAAAAAGGAATAAATCATTGATTGCTGCTTGTAACTTGCAAAGAACATGTCTTGGAATAAAAAGGAAAAGGACGGAACCTTGAGAATAAATCCGTTGGAAAAAGAATTGTTGAAGATAGCTCATATGTGAAAATTTGTGGTATATACTCATTTTCTAAATTAGAGAAAATTTTTCAAAGAGCAAAGTCTGTTCAGCAATTTAGAGAAAACGTTAGAGAGACTGTTTAGAGAACTCTTCAGGAGAAAAGAAAATAAGCAAACAATTATTTACTGAAGGCTTACAATGCGATAGGACTTATGACCACTGTTGTTTATATATGAAATCTCATGTAATCTCTACCAAAATTTTCTAACTAGATAGTTTATCATCATCTTACAAATAAGGAGGCTGAGAGAGGTTATGTAACTTGACCAAGATTACAAGCTAATATTTTGCTGAACTGGAATTTGAACTTGGGTCTGTCCAACTCTGAGGCCCATATTCACTTCCTATTAGGCCCTGCTATCCACATTACTGTTAAGCTGCTAGATACTAGACTACCACTGGCAGGCTTAAAACCTAACCAGGGTAAAAAGTTGAGAACCTGAGGGAGAGCGCAGAGAGTAGTAGGGAGGAGATAAAGTCAAAGGAGAGACCCATAAGACAGAGAAGGTAGAATGTCATTCGCAATGTCCTCACATACTCACCCATAGCACTGGCATCCTTGATTGTTCTTAACTGTCTCAGAAACAGCAAAGCATCATCCTTGCTAAAGACGTGGTACTCCCATATCCACGTTGGCACTGTGGATATCACCACATCCATTGCTGGCAAGGTCTCTCTCTGGAGACATTCTTGGGATGTGACTCATTCACAGGTGGGGCTCACTTTTATTGCCCCAACAAAATCTTTTAGATAGTCTTTCCTTACCATTCAGTTCCCTCCTATCTCCTTCCAAATCCAAGAAAAGATAGTCCTAAACTCAAAAATGAACTGCAGAATATCTTTGTTTTCAATTCTGTAGTCATTTGTTCAGCGGCTTTTGTACAAATCACTTTAGGAGATTTAAAGACCAAAAGACACACTTCTTTACTCTCAGGAGTATGAGACTTTGAGAAATTCTGTTGTAACATATCCTGAAAAAGTATGTCTTATCAAGAGCAGATTCTATGGTGAATCTTCCTTCTTTGGTGTTCCCTATCATGGATGCCAGAATCTTACCTCTAATCATTAGATATATTTGTTCCTTGTTGTGTTCTTAATTTAGCACTTTATGATGAGGACAGTGATCATGATGGTTAATATTTATTGGTAATTTATTGAGAATGACTTAGCTCCTTAAGAGAACTATATTCAAGTTGTTCTGTGTATCTATATTCTACCAACTCAATAGAACAGCAAAGAACACAGCATAACAGACAAAAACAGAGCATTCTGATCTTAATCTTATTAAGAATTACCATTTTTAGGTGCTAACTATATGCCATATACTGTGATATTTGCTGCATTACATTATTTCACTTAAGCCTCATAACAACCCCATTGGGTGAGGAATTCTGTCTGTAGGTAAAGAAATTGAGATGTCAGTGCTGGGATTGAAGGTGGGGTTTATTGGAGGCTGCAACCATGCTGTCTGAAGCACAGCACATACTGCCTCTCTCATCCAGTAAGACCAGAAGATTGTCTGTATTTGGTTTCCATTGAGACATGTTTTTGTTTGGCTCTCTTAACCTGTGTAGCTGCATGCTTTGTGTTGTCATCTCTACATCTTGCCACAGGCTGTTTTTCAAAGTCTCACTTATGACCTGGAACAAAGTAAGGTCTTTAAGTAGTGAGTCAGGAAGAATGTTTGTGCAATACTGCAGTTTGTTTCTTTAATCTAAATTTGCTGAGCCCTCTCTGTGGGAACTGGCATTTCCCTGCCCATGTGGCTGCATTCTCAGACATGCTGTGCCAAGATGAGAGGCATCAGAACTCTTGGCAGGGAGAGGAAAAAAAATTGAAAATGTTTCACTATTTCTGTGAGGCCAGCTCACTTCCTGGGAAATACCTTTGAACCTTATCTAATTACAGTGGACAAAAATGGTAAGTTTAATCATTTGATAGGTCACAGCATATTATTGCTATACTATAATAAAATTCTACTCTGTTATGAAAGCATACGGAGTAGAAAGGCTAAAACTGGCCTGGAGAATCTGGGTTGGATTCTTGTTGGATATGGGATGTGAGTCAGACCTGGAAAGACAAGTGTTTGCACAAGTAGATTGGAGGAGCAAGCGTTTTGGTCAAAGAGCCTCCAATTCGACAGAGAGCTCATATTTTGCCATGTACCCTACTGAGGTCTTCATATTCATCATCTCATTTATACTCCCCCCCATTTCAGCCCTGAAATGTAGGTATTGTTACCCCCATTTTACAGATGAAGCAATTTAGACTCAGAGGAATGTGCTTTTGAGTCATGTTAGTGATAAATAGAGGAGCTAGATTCAAATCCAGACCATGATCTTAATCCCTGCCCCAAGGACATTCTCTCTGCAGGTCTGCCAAGAGGTGGGAAGATGTATGGCCTGGGAGGGAATAGTAGGTAGATGGTAGGACTGTATAACTGTGTATATGCAGGTAAGTTTTTATTTATTCCATGGAGAGGAGTGAAGGGTGGAGGAGTCGGGGTGCAGAGGAGAGTTTTTCTGATAGATCTGTTTGGTTTTGCAATGTGGATTCAACTTTAATAGTGGAATCCAACAATTTTTATTGAGTCTGTTACTAATAGAAGATTCCCAATCCCACCTCCTTCTTTTAGGCACCTTTGCCTTGACATCCTTAATATCAGCCAATGCAGTGGAACGGCTTGTCCCTCTGAGCGTCCAGAATCTCACCACACAGAGTAACACAAGTGTGCTGGGCTTGTCTGACTTTGAGATGCAAAGGATTGGTGTTGCTGCAGCCGTTTCCTTCTTGGGAGGTGTGATTCAGGTAAGTGGTACTGAGATTTGGGAGTGAAGAAAGGACAGTGGCAAAGGGAAAGCAATTGGTACTTAATTTTCATTTGTGTTCATGCGTTTGTCTTTCTAGATTGGATAAAGGGCAGATGTGTTTTATCTTTATGGAAATACTGTCTACTGCATAGAGGAGTTACTCTCTAAATGCTGGTTGAATAAATGAATTAGAATCAATAAATCGAAGTTACGGGAAAGCAATTTTTGACTTTTCAAGAAAGAGCTTTCTAACGAATGTTTTACAAAATGGAATGCGCTTCTTACAAGGCAATGAGGTAGTCCTTGCGTTCACACAGTGACCAGATCATCACTGTAGGAGATGTTATAGGAGAAATTCCAAAATGGGAGGGGAAGTGACTAGATTTCTAGCATCTTCCCAATTTTCAGATTTTATGATTTTACTGCCTACATCAGTAACAGATAGTATGTAGTTTGTGCCATAGACTTGCTGGTGTGCGGTCCTGGGACTCAGATCTGTACCAGTCTTTGCCCCTCTCAGCATCAGGCATGTGTGTTTTTGCTAGGTCTGCTCTAGTCTGTCTGTTTCTTCAAAATATCAGACTATGGAATTTTCTTTTTATAATCAATTGTCAAAATTTTAAACTGAATTATGTGTACGTCAGCTTCCTGGGTGGCTGTTTTCTGGGTTAGTACAGGCTCTATTTTACAATGCAACATTATTTACAAGGTCAAAGATGGTGTAAATGCCAAGAAGGGAGAAAACTAGTTAATGATTGCCTGGAATTGGATGGTAGGAAGAAAATGTGACCTAGAAGGAAGGAAACATTAAAAGTCTTTGAGCTACGTTGCTGTCTAGCCACGTAAAAAGGACAGAAGAATTAAGGATGTAAGACAAATAAGAACTCAAGTCCTCACAGTTCCTTAGAAAACAGACCATCTGAGTGGCATCTTTGCCTAGGAGATTACCAGACTAGAAGGCCAATAGGTATTTTCTATTGCTCATGTCTGTGCTTTTACAAAATACCAACTGGTTGAGTAGGTACCTTGTAACCTTCTCTATATGTTTTTAAACATGGATGATGTCGACCTATTCCGAGACTTGCACAGGCAGGCTTAGTGGCCTTTTCCTCCTCACTTGGCTTGTGTGGGGCCCTCTCATGGACCTGCCATCTGTGTCCATCTCAGAAATAATCAGTGACATGAACTTGTGATTCAGATGTGGATATGTTGCCATAGATTTGGTATAGGTTTTCCTTAATTTCTGTTCATTTAAAATTAAAATTGCTGTGTTAATACAGCAAAGATATATCAGTACTCTTTCTGATACCATTATTTTCCATTCATATTTCTCTTTGAATTTGTGATTTTTCCTATGTTTGGACTTTCTCTTATTCTATAAAGCATAGAATGAGTAATTTTAGGTGTATATTAGTATTTTTAAAATCTAAGAGAATATATAATTAGCAATAAGAACCAGCAACCTCTGCTTTGTTTCATTTTAACTATTTTCCATAAGTTTGAAACAATCACCAGGTATTCTGTTATTATCTAGCAAATTTGGATTAAAGACTTAAATGATAATAAAATATAAAAGTAAAAGCCAGGATTCTTACACATAAAAATAAATATCTCATTTCCCAGAATGAAACTCTCTAGAATTACAAAACAGGATATTATTAAAGATAATAAAAATAATTTGTTTTCATGGCCTTTTATTACACCTAAGATCTGATCCAGTGATCGCATGTTTTGTCTTATAACTTCATCAAACATCTGCTTTCCTTGGTCTTTAGCTCTGATCCTGGTGGATATGTGACTTATGTTTTAGCCAATTTTTAAACAGATGGCTGGACTTTATTTGACCTGCAAACTCATCTATCCACTGTCAGCCAGAGCCCCGGGGTCTGTTGGATCTTTTGGATCCAGCTTCTTAGTCATTTTCCCTTTTCTCCTTCAGATTTGAAATCCACTGAACATGAGGGCAGTGCCAAGGTTTCCAGCTTCTGCAAACACACAAGGTGTTTGTTTGTTTGCCTTGTTTTATTGATTTATTTTTTTGTGTTGTTTTGCTTGTACATTATTCATTTTCAGATTGTGATCTTTTTTCTTTTTTTGCCCTCTGAAGATCTAACTGATGGAATTATTTAAGTTAATAAGATTATATTGTTAAAGTGTTTGAAAGAATTACATCCGGTCTAGTTCAGAGAGTGTGTATCAATTGAAAATTCTCTCAGCTGCAAGTAGCAATGACTCCACTACCAGAGGCTTACGCTATACAGACATTTATTGCTTCTTGTGCTACAAGAGGTCATAGAAACAGGTTCTTAAGGGTTTTCAGTTTCCAACAGCCCATTCAATTGATGAACTGATCTAATTTTTTATTAGATAATAAGGACTCTGTGACTTAGTGCTTTTCGTTTTTTGCCTCTCTTCTGGTAATTCACAAATCAGTTTTTTTCCTAAGTAGCTTTTATATTTGTCTAATTTTTTTCCCACACAACTTTTTCTCCACTTCTTTATTCATATTACTTAACGTTGTTTTAATGATTCTAGTATGTCTATCTCTTAAATTTTAACTTGTTTTATGCTATTTTTAGAAGGAAATGTGGCATAAAATAATAAATATATTAGAATTAAATTAAGATGCATACTTTAGCAAACTGTCTTCATAACATAAAATTTCTGGTTTTATTTTGCAAATCGTCTTTTTTCTCTTTTTTGTCTTTCTTCCAACTTTCTGCACATCCATAATATTTTGATTTGTTTTCTACGTGACATTATTTAGAACACAAGTTTCTTGAGGTTATTTATAGTATCTTAATCCATTTTAAAGTCTTCGTTACACTTAGCATACCACTCTGCATGTGGTATATTCTTAGAAAACATGTTCAGTTAAAAAATTAACTATTAGAAATAGCGGACATAAGACCAAGTAATAATTTTGTGATTTTTGAAAAATCGAGCCTGACGTTTGTTGATTTTAATTATTACTATAACAAGAGAGGACTATTAAAAAAGACACACTCGGAGAACTATTCCTCTCCCTACCCCTTAGTCCTATTTCCCCATCCTTTCCACCCTATTCTCACCTACCTCCTGGAGGTAACCTGTCTTATTTATTCCTGGTTTATACTTCCTGTTTGTTTTTTCAAAATGAGAAGATACTTGTATTTTTTTTATTTGCACTTCTTTCTTACTTGAAAGTTAGTATTCTTTTGTATTTTTCTTTCTTGACCTAATGATTCCTGGAAATCATTCCAAATCAGCTTATTAAAAAAATCCTTTATGCCTTTTTATTGCTGCATAGTACTCAATTGTGTGGAAATACCATAGTTTATTCGACATATCTTCAATATTGGGCATTTAGGTTGATTCCAATATTTTTTAATTGTTAACAATGCTGATATGTATATGAATATATATTTTCATATTGTTAGTGGTGTCTGTTCAAAGTGAATTCCTAGAATGGGATTGCTGGATCAAAAGGTCAGTGCATATGTAGTTTTTTTAGATATTGTCGAATTTCCTTCCAAAGGAGTTACTGAATTTTGCATTCCCACAGAAGTGTATGAGATGTCCTCTGCCTTGCCAACAGAATGTGTTGTCAGACTTTTTAATCTTAGCCAATCAGGTAGGTGAGAAATCATATTCAAGGGTAATTTGCATTTCTTAAATTGAGTGTGGTTGACGTCATTTCATATGTTTAAGGCCATTTTGTATTAGTTTTGTGAATTGTCTGTTCATATATCTTTCCCACTTTTCCATCAGACTTTTGGTTCTTTTCCCCTCAAATTTTAAGAGTTCTTTATATATGTTAGATATTAGCCCTTTATCTGTGATATATGCTGCAAATGTTTTCTTCTAATTTGGCCATTCTTCTTTGGCTTTATTTTACCGTGCAATTAAAAAAAATCTCTCTGTAGTCAAATTGATGAATTGTTTCTTTATTGCCCCTGGATTTGAATCACCATTAGAAAGCTTTTTCCTACACTGAGTTTATAGAGGAATTCACCGTACTTTTTCTTGTTTAATTTATGAAATTACTTTCTATTATATACATGTGTATACATATTTTACATTTACATACTTACATTTATATATATATATTTTTTTACCTTTTGTTTTCTAATCAATGTGGAGTTTATGCTTGTGTATGGTGTGAGATACACATCTAGTTTTATCTTTTTTCCAAGTGGCTAACCAGTTGTGCCAGCAACATTTATTAAAAAGCTCATCTTTGCTTCTGTGATTTAAGATGCCACCTTTATTATTTCCATATTTATGTAGATCTAGCTCAGGACTTTCTGTTCTGTTCTACCGGTGAGTACGTCTATTCTTGTGACAGTGGCACTATTTTAATTATGGAGACTTATAGTATGGTTTAATATTTGACACGACCAGTCCACCTTTGTAGTTTTTATTTCTTAGTGTGTTCGTGTCTATTCCTGCATGTTTGTGTTTTTTTAATGAACTTTAGCATCAACTTGTCTAGCTCCACACAAAAAAAATGCTTCTTATTTTTATTGGGATTGTGTTAAATTGACATCTTTATATGTTGAGTTGTCCTATCCAAGAACAGGTATGCCTTTCCTTTTGTCCAAGTCTAGTTTTGTGTCTTTCAGAAGTGTTTCCTCTTATAGGTTTTGCACATTTTTGTCAAGTTTATTCCTAAGCATTTAATCACTTTGTTGCTATTATAAATGGGGCTTTCTTTACCATTGTGTTGTCTAGTTGGTTATTGTTTGTGTCTTTACCATTGTGTTGTCTAGTTGGTTATTTTTTGAGTTATTTTTGTATGTTAAGTGTATATCCTGATATCCTATTGAGTTCATTATTTAAATTCATTTTATTGTTCATTGATTCTCTAGAGATATTTTTTAACTTCTTTACAAATTAATATACCGCAATTTCTCTTGTCCAATTGCATTAGGTGATAGCTCTATTATAATGTTAAATAATAGTGGAAAGAGTGGGCTTTCTTGCCTTTTCTTGAGCTTATTCAAAATGCCATTAGTG